GTAGCGTTCAACAGTTTTCGATTAACCTGTGTTTTCGTGGCCCATTTGGCAAGCCAAAAAAAGGGAAAAAAGCCGTAAAATTACGAAATAGCAGCATACTTAAATTTCCATTGGAAAGTTTTATACTTTGCATGAATAGGTAATTGAGTGTTTTCATATTTTTATTTCAAACAAACTCTCATATTTGCAAAGGCTTTGAATGTTCTGATTGTGTACTCCACGCCATATATATTTTGGAAATTACATTTCAGCCTCCTAACGTTTACAATGTCATACATCCGGAAATATGCCTTGACTAGCTATCATTTGGATCATTAACATAGGACATGAGAATGCTCATATTTTGCGAAATATACTGATAGCTTAGATTTTACTATAAATTCTTAATTAGGATGGAGCGTGTATTTATAAGAAAAGACGAAATTGTATATCAACTCTATAGACGTTCATAAGTCAAGACAGTCCTTTGTCAAAAAGACCATTGCATTACATTGTGAAATTCTTATTGTTTGAACAAAAAAAATCGTTATTTCTAAGTATTGTTTATTTGTAAGAATTGTAGATCATAATTATAGCAGTTAGGTCAAAAGATTGTAAAAACCATTGCATTACATTAAAAACAGCATATGTCATATATAATATTCATAGGACGGAAGTAACTAGACCACAGAATTATAAGTTAATGAAAAAAAAATACTATTTCATGCATCGAGAGCTGATTATGCCCCATAACATGTGTTGGGCGTAATCTTCAACAAGCATAATATTTAAGGGTAAAATTTTCAAATTGTATGACCTGTATTAATATAGGTTTTCCCGACCAATATCCTAAAATGTTCATTCACTTTTGAAAATTGGTCATTCATTTTCGTCTGAATTTGAGAGTCGCTATGAACGCGCGTCTTATTTTCGCTACTTGAGCATTCGATGTCATTTCAATTCGATCAATTAAGTGATTGTAGTAGAAACAATTATTTCAATGTTGCCATTTCCACACAATAAAATGTTACAATGCCTTGTAAACATATTATACAGAGCAAAATGCAAGGAGATATGTAATTGTGTATAAAAATGTACATGGATCAATACTAGAACAAATTTACGAAAACATTTAGGTATGTGAAGCGTCACGCTTTTGTACCCTAACCTATCGTCGGACAAGTGGACATGACCAAGAAAAACAGAGACAGTGACAAAGGACAAAATGGACAACAGTGAGACACACAAAGACACAACCTAGAAAAACACAAACTGGTATAAGCGAGGGCATACATCTAGATTCATAAATTATAACTAGTTATTCGAATAAACGTAGAAAAATACAAACTGGTATGAGACGAGAGCTTGCATCTAGATTCATAAATTATAACTAGTTGTTCGAATAAGAATTGAGTAGATGTGATCTAAGATTTTTAACAAAGACAGAGTAGGAAGGTGCTGATTTTAAGAAGTCATCTAGACTATTCTAGAATGATGTACCACGTTGAATAACGCTATTTTTAGACAATGTTGTTCTGTTGAATTGGACATATACATTTCTCCTACTAGTGCTTCGGGTATTATACAAATGAATATCAGATGTGAGCATAAAGAAGGGGTTGAAACAAGTAGGTAATGCATTGTGTGTAAACCTATACATAAATTTGCCCAGGTTAAAATAGTAGTAGCTTTACCTTTCGTTGATGTCCATTTAGATTCGTTTACAAGACTTCTTTTTCGCTTTTAGAGGGCGATTTCAAACATTCACCGTTCTATTTCACTTTTAGTTGAAAGCCATCGGCACCAGATACAAGTAGGGGTTTCTTTTTCATTTAACGTCTATCAAATTAGCTGCTAAACCTGCACAAAATAGATTTAGAAAAGGTATGCATGCGTAAATGAATTCACAGGTAACGTAATTGGCCGTCTGTTTCTCAAGGCAGAATGCACGGACAATGAAAACGATTGAACTTTTGTTGAATCGAAATGGGAATAAAGACGTGCATTCAAATTCAGACGAAAAGGAGAGACCGATTTTCAAAAGTGAATGAACATTTTAGGAAATTGGCCGGGAAAACCTATATATTGAAATATGTATTGGGTTTTTTTGGGGGCATGTAAAACCTATGAGAAAGCAATTATTTTCGGTTGCTTTTGCAGAAAACTAGATCCACTCTGCGAGTAGCCTGGTTAATTTTCCAACGTTATCCACTCTAATGGGGGCTGTAATTGTTGTAAGGTTTTGTAAATTTGTAAAGTTTTATCCAGAGCTACAGTTGGATCGATATCCTATTTCAAAGTCAATACCTTTTGTGTTACCAGGAAAACAGCAACTAAATACAGTTTTGTAGCATGGACAAAATACATGAAAATGTAAAACTCCAAACTGCAAAGCACGAAACAACTCCAAAAATTCCTTGAGTAGGTCTGTGAAAATGGTCCTCCGTCTACAGTTACATGAATACCTGATAATGGTACATTTGGGAGACATTGTGTCGTCATTTTTTTTACCTCAGGGAGACACTGGATATTAGGAAGACATTTCATTTCAATGTCTCCCTAATGTCACAACTCCTATTTAGAGGCAAAATTGTTTTGTCGCAAACAGGCAAGATCGATTGCTCGTGGTCCAAAATATACCAAACTTCGTGGGGGTATGATATAGGTGAAGATGGAAAAAAATGTGCACAAGTCTATGGGAATGTCTCCCAAATGACACATTACCCCTAATAATAAGTACTATTTGTAGTTTCTGCTGAGTTTTAAAAAAATCCCTTCTTATTGTTAATGTCAGGTAAGTGTTTCGACAAATTATTTTATTAATCGTTTCTGTTACATGTTTCATAGAACAGCACTTACAACAATGTAATGCATCATGTCTTTTGCCGTATGATTTTACCGCGTAAGTGTATGATAACTTCATTATTCCTCAAATGTCCATTTCCTATTCGGCGTTAAACAAATGACTAAGCGCTGCAGTATTATTGTTTTGCACATTCCCAAATAACGTCTTTTGTACAAGTTGCAATAATTTTCGTATAAAGCTGCGCACTTTTTTTCGTCTTAGTTCTGACTGCTAAGCTTAAAATAGAACCATTCTTTAAATTGTAATGTTAGTACCACTCTTCGTGATAGTAGTTAATATGGTAGGCCTAGTCTCTGGATTAAGCAACTTAAAGAATAGTACCAAGTTGTTTACGTTAGTGAACAACTACATGGATGAGGATAGCGAATCGTGTATGCAAATTTTTACATTTCGTGTTTACTTGTTGGTGTTAAGTTGATGCCCGCATGCGCAGAAGCAAACATGAAAGGCAAGATGCATAAGCAGTGCATTTGTGATACATGCAGTGCAAACATTTTAGTCGGATTTCCCAACAGAATCAACAGTAATGACCATAAACAGCCAAAGCGCTTGAACAGATGACAACTACAGATAGCATAAACGTTAAAGGGCCCATAAAATGTAATTTGTTTAATGTAATTCGTAAAAATGCCCCTTTATGTCCCATTTAATATTTTGTCTTTTTATTTTGCCGTTTCAAGGGTATTTTATTGCCTTTTTATTTACGCTAATGCGAATTTTCATATTTGTGAGCAAAAGTGTGATGTCATATCAGGCAGAAAACTCAATGTTATAATTCGTTTGTGCACAAAAAGCTGCCAGAATTTTGGATATTTCGCTGTCGTAAACTTTCTTTTCTTTAGTTATTCGTTATTGTTGCAGTTCATAGAAGTAAGCCAATGAGCAATTTTCTTTTTCATAAATGTTTTCAATGAACAAATTTTGGGGTTAACAATTTCAATAGAAAAAACATCAAATATGAGCAGTGTCTTACTCAAATTACATCACGGCAACAGCACCCCCAATTGGCTGGAAAGGCATAGACAATTGTAAATGTTTAAAGAAGTGCACGTTTCAGTGAAATTAACCAAAAAAGGGATGTCAATTAGTTTTCATACACTTAAGAGGATTATAAAGTGGCAAAATATAAATTCCTAAGAGAAATTAACTTCATGGACCCTTTCGCTTCATGGGTTAAAAAAAAGGACACCCACTTTTGACAGCAATTTTAACCAACTTAATCAGTGTTTCACGGAATGTAATGTTCTCGTCGGGAATGCCTAACGTTGACGTGGATAAAAAATCTACGCCACTTTTATGATTCCATTTCCATGCTTTATTACTCCTCTCCAGTGTTAGCTACACCACTACCCCGCGTGTAATTTAATAACTATGCGTAGAGCTATTAGAGCTCTTTGCTTAAAACTAATATAGCAGTCTCTATTCAAGGCGCTTCACTCCCTGAAACTCCCTGCATTTTATGTACACATTTCATGTTTGAAACTAAGACCCTGGAATCCCTGAACACCAAGTCAATTAGAAGAATACAGATGTTAATTCTTTTAAGGCTAGAAATTGATGAGCGGTGGTATAACTTAGGGTCTATAACCGTCCTCGCACATTACGTACAATTAAGGCATGGTGTTTTAACGATTGAGTACAGTATGTCCCTATAAGAAACGATATTCCAAAATTGCGTAGCAGGTGATCACGTGACCATTTTATTGAATGTAATTAATGTGACTACTTGATAGCTAGGTTTTTGGGGACAGAAAACATGTAGTTGACAAAATCACTCAACTGGTAATAAACATACATTATATACTGCATGAAAAAAATGTAAGATAGCCTTAAAACGTCAGCACGCGAAAGTCTTGCATTTGAAACAAATACAAGTTTGTCTTTTTGGGGGGTCATAATTACTTTTCCTTGTTTTATTTATTTGGGAGGAATGCAAAATTGCACAGGAGCAAAAAAAACCTTCAAACTATAGTAACAAAAGTTATTTAACATAACATGAAATTTAATAACAACCAAGAACAATCAACAGAAGGTACATTAATGCCAATGGGAAATTCAGTTAGAGTAGTTCAACATAAAAACAAATATTCAGGCAACACATTCAAATAAAATTACATTAATGTTCTCATTCCAGAACTAGTTTATTCTCCGCAAGATGGGTAGTTACCAAAGCAACACATCCAAAGGGTTTAGACTCACATCTACGTGGGTGGAGTTCGAGGACGACTGGTTCGCTCAAGGGGCCTCCCGACGGGTTTACCGGGGAACATATCATGGAAACCCAGAAAAGGAAGGGAAACGATGCGTAGTTAAAGTTTACAAAGAAGAATGGTTTGACAACATTGAAGAATATGCGTGGAAAGTAGATGATCGTGCCTACCTAAAAGCTACTGAGATGGCACAGTTGTTTAAAGTTCACGCAGCCATGTACCGAACAAGCATTCATCATGAGATAGAGTTCGTTAAGCCCGAATTCACCAGCGTTGACACCTGTGCTTCATTCCGATTGTTTGGCTTTCTGCCAATGAATAAAAAAGTCAAAGGCAAACTACCATACACAAGAGACAGCGTCAAAAACGTCATTCCTTCAAATGCGTCGGTACTTGTCGAACGATACCTTGAGGGAGATTACATCAAATTCACGAGCAACACTGGATTCGTAGACCCACAAAAAGGCGCTTTGCCAAAGGCCTTCAGTCATTTTACTTATCATGCATCAGGAGGCCAGATTTTGGTCAGCGATCTGCAAGGAGTGAGCAACGGCACAAGTTACACGTTCACCGACCCAGCTGTGCTGAGTGGAGGTACACAGCTTGGTTTTTATGGCCCGACTGATTTGGGGAAATACGGCATCGTAAAGTTCTTTCAGAAACATATTTGCAATGAACTGTGTGAAAGGTTGAATAAACCTACAATCACGAATGTTACACCGGCTGAAAAGGCGGTCTTCGATACAATTGTCAATAACATGCCAGACAAGAAGTCGTCAACGTACACATATCAGTTGAGTCAGTCGTCTGACGTTCCCAAGTCTGAAGTTGAAAACATACAACATAACCTCAAGCTGGAATCAATCCTAGAAGAATGAACTGACTCTGATTCGAATGTAGAAACTCAATACCACATTGTCTTACAACGAATGAGTGTACGTATTCTACCACGTACGAGGGTGAACATGCGATCACAGACACAGTAAAGCAATTCGACGCTACGATTAGCAAATTCATGCTAGACATTCACCTGCTGAGTACTTCGTTTGATTCAGATTTAGATTCCGATTCTGATTCAGATTCACTTCCAGAGTTGCATTGCACTCCGGATTAGTCATTAAAAATCACACACGAAATCATTCTTTGATAGAAACCAATAAAGCAATCTACAGCATAAACGATCTAACTACGAAGTCAGCTCCGGTTTAAAAGAAAACAAATATATAACGTATACGAGAGCACATGTCCCCACACCCCCAGGATCACCACCCATGTTATTGAAGACTTGAACATGATTTGGTTTTACGAAAGTCGTAAATAATCTCCAGGGGATTAAGAACATTGATTACCAAGTGACTGTCTCTACACCAGTCAACAAAGAGGTGTACCTCAACCCCTGTGCTGTCTCGCATGTGCAAATATCTTCATTTGAACCATTGCTATGACGTCACACTATTGTTAACAGTGTGGATTCGGATTTACGAATCTCTAACACTAAGCGCAAATTTGTATCCTTGCGGAGACATTTCCACAAGGTGGAACAAAATATTGTATAGGTCTCCACAGGGCAACTTCTATAGATGAATATGTCTCTACAAGGTTTTCACGAAATTATGGTGGCTTTAAAGGGACATCGCACATATATATTGACGCCAATATTCACGCCAATATTCACGACATGGCCCCCATGTCGCAAATATTGACGCCAATATTGACGCCAACATTCACGACATGGAGCAAAGTCGCAAATATTGACGCCAATATTCACGACATGGACCCTAGTCGCAAATATTGACGCCAATATTTACGACATGGTCTCCAAGTCGCAAATATTGACGCCAATATTGACGCCAATATTCACGACATGAACCCAAGCCGCAAATATTGACGCCAATATTGACGCCAATATTCACGAAATGGTCTCCAAGTCGCAAATATTGACGCCAATATTCACGACATGGTCTTCGTGTCGCAAATATTGACGCCAATATTGACGCCAATATTCACGACATGGCCTAAGTCGCAAACCCACTCAGGCGTGAATATTCTCTCTTTTTTTAGCAACCTAGGTAGCGATTCAAGCAACTTGTCTGGCGCACCCTACTCTACAGCACACGTTTTAATATTGTGTTTGTGTTAGCGCGAACTTCCTTCGCTGCAAGGACACAGACGTCCAATCAGTGTGACCGTAAGGTCAGAGCCAAATTGTGCTAAATGCACATAAAAAATCTGTCAGATTTATCAGAAATCTGCCAAATTCCCCAGAATTACTCGAAATACACTATAAACACTTAAAATCACATGTAGATTGGTAGTATTACCTTAATTAAGGTTCAACTCACATTATAAACAATCTATAGTCACATAAAGATGTTATGAAATTATCCCGATAATTTCGGGCAAAACGTGGATCCGGCCACGACGACGTTTCCAGTGAACTTCATTCAGCACCTAGACCCAGAGTTGTAACGAGTCACTGATTTTTGTGACTCGAGTTGAGTCGAGTCATTTTAAAGAAGTGACTCGAATCGAGTCGAGTCATTAGGTCAAAAGGTCGAGACGAGTCGAGTTGAGTCAAATATTTAGCTCGAGTCAGTCCGAGTCACGATTATTTGAACACTATGTATACCAACATTTGTAAAAGGAGGTCATTAACTTAAGCGAGCGTTCCAATCCAAAAGCTTTATAAGAAAACGCCCAAAACCAACGATGAAACAGCGAATTAGAAAATGTGTTTAAAAATCCTGTTCCCGGATAGTATTTTGTGCATTCTAGAACCAAATTAGGTTGGAGTCTGTGACACGCGTATATTTGTACAGGACTGCTGTTCGCAAAGTAAAGTGAGCATAATTTTTGCACCGTCGTTGCAAATACTTGTCGCAAAGTTTTGCTTTTTATTTTTGGGACTCGATCGAGTCTTATTAGCCTTCGCTTGAGTCGAGTCGAGTCTTCTGATGAGGGACTCGAGTCGTCTCGAGTCATTTGCTCGAGTCAAGTCGAGTCATTTACCCTTAGGGAATCGAGTCGAGTCGAATCACCAAAAATTGTGACTCGAGTCAGACTCGAGTCGAGTCGTTGACTCGAGTCATTACAACGTTGTAATGACTCGAGTCAATGACTCGACTCGAGTCCGACTCGAGTCACAATTTTTGGTTACTCGACACAAGTCCCTAAAGGTAAATGACTCGACTCGACTCGAGTCACTGCGAGCAAATGACTCGACTCGACTCGAGTCACTGCAAGCAAATGACTCGACTCGACTCGAGTCCCTCATCAGAAGACTTGACTTGACTCGAGCGAATGCTAGTAAGACTCGATCGAGTCCCAAAAATAAAAAGCGCAACTTTGCGAAAAGTATTTGCCTAGACCAGCCAACCTGTCCCATTATGCCAGGGTTTGTTTGAAAGGATTGAAGCTTTTTTAAACATATGTACCATTTTTTGTTCAAATTTGCTATTCAAATTTGCTGTTAAGGTTTTGTTCAAATTTGCTGTTCTCATCAAATCAAATTGACAACCATTTTTGCAGAATTGCCAGTGCCAGAAATCTGCCCCCTAAAAAAAATCCATTCTGTCAAATTTTCTGTCAAACTCTCGTTTTTTACAAAAATTCCGTCAAAGTTAGCCGAAAATTGGCTAAAACGGTCACCTTGCGTCCAATGTACATGTACATCCATGGCTCGCGCTGCGCCTCACGACGAACGTTAGATAGGTGTGTCTGGATGCCAGACTGTGTGGGTAACGGACACCCCAATTTGCTGTGAAAAAAATCACGCCTGAGTGGGTTTGCGACTTGGGCCAAGTCGTGAATATTGGCGTCAATATTGGCGTCAATATTTGCGACATGGGGGCCATGTCGTGAATATTGGCGTCAATATTGGCGTCAATATATATGTGCGATGTTCCTTTAAAGCCACCATACGAAATAGATATATGGATTTTACTAAAAAAACTAGATTTTTCCAAGGTGGGTTGAATCGTCGCAAGTGGAAGAGTTTGATAAAAGGGATATTAAGTCCGAATTTCAGCCAAGGAAATTTATTCTAGTTAAAATAAGAGCATTTTGAAACTTCATTTTCAAACTCAAAAACGTTACTACACGAGAACAAAGAAATGTCTCCACAAGGATACAAATTTGAGAGTGTGTGGTCACAAAGCGTTGACTCGAAACGACAAATCCTTCAGTGTGGATTCGGAATACACTGTGAACACGTCGGACAATTGTTCTCCATAATGAACATGAATAGGACCGTCTGCGTGAAATTTGCTTTCCGAAAATTACCAATGCATCTTCAATGTCAGATTCTCCGCCGTCACCGCAAAATCTACTTTTAGTCAGAAAGAAATCGTCGCCTGAACTAACCATTTTGACGTAAGGATCCTGTACACACAAAACGACTTGGTTGTGCGGGCGTGGCATTAGGTTGGTCTAACATTGTTCATGGATCCTGTTATATTTTTTTATGACAGCATCTTGAATTAAGCCCATTTTTTGCACAGACAAAATTGAAAACATCAATGAAAAGTTGTGCTTGGTAAACCAAGAGATCCTTAACCATATACGTGAACACTGTAATGGCAGTAAACGCCACTGGCCGATAAAAATTTCGGTCTAGAACTATTTAGATACTTCTTGTTTCCACAAATTTTATGGACAGTACACACATTCTTGTTCCGTAGTTGTGTGGACTACACACGAGTTGTCCCATGGTATGGGACCGAAGACGCTGCGGTCCTAAATTTGACTAGAAAAACAAATGTGGCGATGGGCCCATCCACCAATATAGTGACCATTTAAATCAAATTTGGAAAACAACGGACATTCAAAATATTAACATTCTGTTGAATATCTTTACCTTCAAACTCATAGATGTAAGCATTTACATAATATATAGATATACCATTTGGTAGAAGGTTTATCCAACTGAATAGTTGCATCATGAAAATGTTTGGCAGTCATCTTTATTTGTTTTTCTTTAAATTCAGACCAAACTCAAAAGCCTTTCTGGAGACAATGCAAAAAAAAATTAGTCGAATTCTCGAACAACACTTGGTATGTGCATCCTGGAGCAGAGATCACGCCAGCTGCTTTTAGTCATTTCACTTACGATATGTAACAAAAGGCGAGATTCTCGTTTGCGGTCTGCAAGGGTGAATAACGGTGCAAGGTACACGTTCACAGACCAAGGTTTTCACAGCGCCGGCACAGAGACATATTTGTACGGTCCCATTAATTTCCGGAAATGTGGTATCGTGACATTTTTTGAGAGTCACGAGTGTAATGCATTGTGTGAAGGGCTCAAGAAACCCCCAATTAAGATTTACTGTTCGACAGGTGGTTGGTTGCACCTGCAGTGAAATTTAAATAAAATCTAAACTCGAACATATACAAAACGATTCAAGCTTGGAGCAGCCTAAAAGTAAATCCATCATTCTTAAAGAAATGCAAAACAAAACTTACACATAATTCAACTGTTCGTTACATTCTTCGGTTTGAAACATTTTGTTTCCACATTTCTAACTTGTTCTGTGCGTCGTGCACAAAAAACAACGCTGAAAGCAGAATCGCACCGACAAATCTCTGATTTCTTCACTGAAATAGGCTACCTGTAACGTATAGTATAACCAAAAATATTTTTATCTAGACGTTTGACAAGGTACCGCTAGCTAACTCTACGACTTGTGGGCCGTTTAGGGGGATTGACATGAATTCATGAAGTTTAACTGTTTCTGATTTCCCTGTGTACTAGTGGCTCATTGGCAGCCCTCAAAAAGATCAAAAGCCAAGCAAATACAATACAACAGTATACATGTACTTCGCAAAGTTCGATGCTTTGCGCGAATGGGTAATAGGCCATCAGCCTGGAAGTTTGGTTGGTATAAATGAGGGAAATAATGGTCTTTTTTTTTTGACAGGGAATGTAACCCTGTAGTTCGAAAATATATAATAGCATCGCAGCGATGGAACCTTTTTGGGTGCTATTACTTATCAAAAAAAATGGCAACCAAAACATGCTTGTACGTGTTTACCTTGCCAAAAATTGCTATGAACATTGCTCTTTTCAATCATTTGCTACCGCTGGCTCAATTTTGGACCAATAGCCTATAATGGAGTGATATTTGTATTATTATTATTTTTTTATAGACAAACCTTATAAAAATAATTTGCAGGGGCTTTGAATGGTCTGATTGTGTAGACTCGAAGTTATACATAGTTAGAGGTTATACTTCAGCCTCCTAGGTTTTACATGACATATATGAGAATGGTTGCACTTTGAGAGTTACTGTTGGATTAAATTTGAAATATAAATTCTGCCTTTCGACTTAGAGGTTATCTTAGCACACTATATTATAGTAAAGAGCATTGTATCACATCGGGAAATAATTGTTTGTAATTTTATTTATTTCATTGTATTGTTAAGCGTCGCCAGGATTTTTTCTAGAGGGGGGCAAAACATTTTTTTGCCAAAATATGCTTGTATTTCTGAACACATTCTCGATTTGTCAGTTTTAGAGGGGGGAAGGGATTTTGCCCCCCCCCCCCAACTCATTAGATTTACACAACTTTGTCTTCGTTCCTCTTTTTTCCTTTTCTTTTTTTCTTCCTTTTTTTTTTTTTTTGCTTTTCCGGGGGGGGGGGGGGGGCAAGTGCCCCCCTTGCCTCCCCCCCCCCTCGCAACGCCCATGATGGAAGGTCATTAACTTTCAGTTCAAATCGATTATAGTAAAGATTATTGCATTCCATTCAAGGCAGGGAACAGCGGTGTCATTCATCGGACAAATGGACAAGATCATAACATTGTTTTACAATATCATGCGTTGAGAGCTAATTATGCCCATTTATTAAAGTATCTGCTGTTCTTTGTCTAGATAAACGTTGATGTTTGGGGTTTTGGGTTTTTTTAATTTTCAACTGCACGTATTGTTAGATAAAGTAGTTTATTGCAGTTACTTTTTTGTCGGCCCATGAAGTGTGTAATGTTTATTGATATCCAAAGGTTATCTATCCAAAGGTTATCTACCTTTGTTTATTCAGTGTCTCGTTCAAAAGTAAATACCCTTTGCGTTGTCAGAAAAAAACAGCACTTCAAGTAGTAGCATGGACAGTACATTTTTCATATTTTGTTTTTGAAAGTTCGAAGCCGGTAAGGAATCTAGCCTTCCTGACACGAACTACCTTGAAATTATCATTTTGTTTAATATTTAATGCTACATGTATATAGTTCTTTCAAACAAAACAAAATCATGTTTGTATTGTTATCGATAACAAATTGGGACATTGCAGTAACAAAGGTCACACAGCAAAGTCCAAATTTTACTGTATCCAGACTGATGTTCTTTTCAAAAATTTAAAATTCATGTTGTGTGAGCATTAAACAACAGTGCCGTCTCGTGAGCTTTTGGTAGGCGTCGTAGTCTACTTTACACGCATATTATTCAATGTCTTCATACCATTCCTCGTTATCAACGTAAAAATCGCTTTTGAAAGAAAACGCACTAGGAATTGTTGTTTGTAAAGTAAAACAAGAAGACTCACACGAAAGAACGAAGACAATTTAGACAAACCTCACGGGGTTCCCAATCACTCAAGTTAAGATTCATTTTTTATAAGTCATGTTCCCTAAGATCAAACACGAATTTCATTTTACGGTGAAAGCCTACACTATAATAAATCAATAAAAACTACAAATTGTGGCTGTAACTGATTAATCAAAAAGCAGTTCCCAAATTTTTGCAATGTTTTTTGCACAACACAAAGGATTAAAGATTTTGGTTCTGAAAAAAATTCAGTTACTATTAAAATTTATAATATTTTATATACGACCTTGATATTCCAGGAGGTGCATTTTCAGTCCAATATAAGGAAGGTGCAAAGAAAGAAATTAATCATATCTTATCGTTTTGTCGGGATATGGTGGTCACAACATTACCTCATTAAAAGAGAAATCGTATAAGAAGGGAACGTTTAAAAGAGGAAAACTTACAATTAATTTGGGGATGACATGTCCACTATCTCTGGGACTGTCACGCGTGTCATTGGTGATTTCAGCAGTCAAAAAAATATATCCTTTGTCTTACGAAAATTGATAACCAGTCAAGAAAGTTTAAAAATGATAAAAATGTTTGAAACATGAACAATCCGTATAAAATCCCGACGACTGTATAATGTTATCTACAAAACGTTTCTTCCAATGCATATTCTATGTTTCAACCTGATCATAGGCCTACTAATGTTCTCTATACAGGACTTGACATGTAAGATGACAAATCGCGACGTGTGATGACGTCATCGTGACGTCACTTATCTAAGAACAACTTTACTGTCAGTGCGTCTCCTGGAAAGAAAGAAAGAGAGAAAAAAGAAGAGAAAAGAGGCAAGCAGTCATATTGGTGTAAATTTAATGGGTAGGGGCAAAATGTCCCTACCCTCATCTAAAACTGATAAATCGAAAATATGTTGAGAAAAAAAAGGATTTTTTTCTGAAAATATGTTTTGCCCCCCTCATCCTAGCGACGCCCATGTTTCCAGCTCTTGCACGAAACTTAACCCCAAAACGTTCATTTATTTAGCTTCACTGCGCATGTCTGCCATAACGCGAGGAGCCAGGCGCGAGTAAGCTAAGGGAAGTAATCGAGCGCACTCTATATTTTTTTTGGCCGGTTCGTGATTTGAAATCAGAGTGTATTCCGTTGACTTCAATGCAAACGTCACACCCTTCAATAAACACGAGAAATTGACCATAAAAATAGTTGGTTGAATGCACACAACGTGATCACGGCAATGGCAATGTCAACTTAAAATAACATCAGCCGTCATCAGTAAAATAAGAATGCAGGCCAGTAAATAGACTGAAAACTACCTATGCGGGCAAAATCACAATTTGTATGCCCTCAATTTTTCATTCCTGCATTTTGTGGGCTGTTAACTTAAGGGTTTGTTAATAAAAAGGATGGAAGCCGTGAACAGAAATGCAAGCTCTTACTTCTGTTAATGAAATTCGGATAAAAAGGCCTTAAAATCGCACAATTTGGCAATAGATCTTTTGCATCATTCTTCAGATTGATCACAGAATTTTGAACTTGTTTAGGATTGCTCAATTTGGATGGATTTTTTTTACCAAAAGTGGTCTAAAAAGTGAACGGATTATGAAAGGTTAAAAACAAGAGCTTTACTTGGATGTTTGCGCGGTACATGGGATACCTACATGGAGAGTCGCATAACTGTCACAGGGATATCAGACAGTAAATTTATTTGGCAAGAATTTGGGGTAAAGAAAGTCACACGTGACGCAAATATCACTTTTTGTTCAAGCACAAATACAAATTTAGTACAAAAAATACAAACCTATTGTAACAAAAAATGAATTTAACATGTTGCGTCCGTGAGATACATCAATACACTTTTAAGTTAAAACAAAATCCAAGCAAAGATTATAATGATGACGTCATCATACCGTAGGCACATACCATGCAAAGAATCAACCCATTCAAACAAATAATTCTATCAGGAGATATTTTGGCCTACAAAGATAAACTTTTCGGGTGTGTCATGTGACCCAAGATGACGTTATCGTGACGTCATGATTCGGCTATCTACGTCATCAGATGGTGTCTACGATTATGGCAAGTGGATTGGATAAAAAAAATAGTGAAAAGTGGGATGCACAAATACCGATACACTATTAAAAACACGGAAGTGTCAGATGTTGTGTAGTTTAGAATTTCTGTACACTCTAAAAAAAAATATGGTTTAAAACACTGTTGGGCAATATAATTTTACCCAACATTTGTTTGAAATTACCCAATTTGAGTGAAAATTTGCCCAAAAGTTTAACCTGTTGATATGTTGACCAACGTTGGTCTATACATATCAACCCATTTTGCCCAACGTGTTTTCAGTGTATGATTGCGGTCATAACTGTCCAAGGTTTTTAATATTCCAAAATGCCTTTTTTGGACCCTAAACTAGTCTGCTCGAAATATTAAAGACAACTGCTTTTGTAATTTGCAACAGTTTTTTAAGTTGGAAAATGCGATTTATTTGTGTGCGTTACATTTTGGCTTAGTAAAAACCGATCCAACCCCTATCCCATCACAAGGTGCATTGACGTGTGCGGCGGTGAATTGCGAAATCTCGTAATTTCTTTTTCCCTTTTAACCCCATATTTCCTTTTTAAACAGTCGGCAGTCTTTCTACGACATGGATATTTGTTCTGAATGTGGTCAAAAACAACGAACGATTAAATAGTGTTCAAGCGTGGGGAAAAGTGTCCAACCTTCACAATCGCTCCAAAAAAAACCAACATTTTTGCAACTTCGCGGAAAAGCCTATAAATTAGAGTACTGCATGGCACTCTCTCAAATCTTTGTAGCATTATACTTCTACTGCCACGTAACCTTCTCTTTAAACGACATATGAAACGAGGTGCCCATTCCATCCTTAATTAAATCCCTCAGTCTCAACTCATTTGATAGGTTTTCCTTTCCTAATTCGAAGCTATTGCCTGCGACAAAAGAACAGAAAAGAAAGAAAAGAGTTATCGTGTTGTCCTGCAATTATAAAGAAATTCCGAAAACGTGTCAATGTTTGCAATGTATTCAAAAGAGCCATGGTTTCGTTTTGTTTTTTTGTTTCTCTTTTCTAGAATTATATTTGGCTCGAAGGGAAAAATGGGTGGTAACCAAAGCAACCGCGCTGAAGTGATTGGATACAAGGATGGGTATGTTGAGTTTGAGGACCAATTGTACGCTGAAGGTACATTTCGGCGGGTTTACCGGGGCAGATTTCATGGAGATGTCGTGGTTAAAGTCTACAAAGAGCCTTATTCTCTATACCTAGAAGAGTATGCCTGGAAAGCAGACGACCGTGTCTTTAAGCAAACTGAGGAGATGGTGCAGAAGTTTAACGACAAGTATATAAATACGAGCAAGCCAATAGAGTTTGTTAGACCAGAGTTCGCTCAAATTCGTTCCAGCTCAAATATCCCTAAAAATGCGATCGTTGTGGTCGAGAGGTACCTTGAAGGAGATTTTGTCAAATTCTCGAACAACACTGGGTATGTGCGTCCTGGAGCAGAGATCACGCCAGCTGCTTTTAGTCATTTCACTTACGACGTCACAAATGGCGAGATTCTGGTTTGCGATCTGCAAGGGGTGAACAACGGTACAAGGTACACGTTCACAGACCCTGCTATTCACAGCGCCGGCAAAGAGATGCATTTGTACGGTCCCAGTGACTTGGGGAAAATTGGTATTTTGAAGTTTTTTGAAAATCACGAGTGTAATACATTGTGTGAAGGGCTCAAGAAACCCCAAATTGTCTCTTGCACATCAGGTAAAAGGATTAATTTCAATGAAATCGTACGTAAAATTCACTTGGAGAGTTCTTCAACGAAACATACGTTTGAGTTAACGTGGGGCGGCATTTCCAAATCTGAATTCGAACAAACACAAATTAAAATCCAGTTTGAAGCAGTCAACAAGTAATTTCATCATTTTTGATAAAAATTACACACAAAACTAACACTGAATTCAACTGGTTTTTTTTTTCTTCATTTGTTCGGTTCCCATCAGGTTGCGTGTGCCACGCACGAACCGAGCACGCTTCTGTCAGTCATTTGTACCAAACTCCATCCATAATGTTCAACCAACTTGTCAAGCGATAACTCAACCCTTGGTTATAAACATTTTTCCATACCCCTTGTAACTGTTATCTTAAGCCCCTCGCAGTCAGTCGTAGAATTCGAAATTATTTCGTGTTTATTGTTATGGTTATAGTATAGTATAGTATAATATATAGATTAAATGATAATGGTATTAATTCACTTCGTTGGTTACTCATATTGTTAATTAAGTTTTTGTTAGTCATTAGTTCAAATAAGTATTTGATTTATTTGCAAATGGACAACATTGCAAATTTGTAAGTATCTGTATGTACTCTCTCTATGTTTTAAATGTGTACTGCTGGTGGAAAGCAAATTTCCGCATGCTTATTGTGGACAATAAATGATCATATCATATAAATTATCATATCATATCATATCAAAACATTATATTTTATTCACACAGTACATGTGTTTTGTGCGTCGTGCATAAAGTAAACATTACGCTGAAAGCATAATCGCAGCACCAGATCTAATCAACGGTGCTCGCTCACATAATTATTACTGTATTTAGCCAGTTTCCAAGGTACCTCTGCGACACGTGGAACCGTGTTAGGGATTGTATGATTGAGATGAATCCCAAAAATTACGAAATGGTAGCATACATAAATTCCATTGGAAAGTTTTATACTTTGCATGAATAAGTAATTGAGTGTTTTCATATTTTTATTTCAATCAAACCCGCATGTTTGCAGAGGCTTTGAATGTTCTGATTGTGTACTCAACGCCATAAATATTTTGGGAATTAAATTTCAGCCTCCCAACGTTTAACACTGTCATGCATCGGAAAAATCTGCCTTGACTAGCTATCATTGGGATCATAAACAAAGAACATGAAAATGCTCGTATTTTGCGAAATATACTGATAACTTAAATTTTAGTATAAATTCTCAATTTGGATGGAGCGTGTATTTATAAGAAAAAATTTAATTGTATATCAACACCAGAAGTTCATAAGTCAAGACAATCCTTTGTCAAAAAGACCATTGCATTACATCGTGAAATTCTTATTGTTTGAATAACAAAATCGTTATTCCTAGGTATCGTTTATTTTTTAAGAATTGTAGATCAGAATTATAGCAGTTAGGTCAAAAAAATATTGTAAAAACCATTGCATTACATTAAAAACATGGAACAGCCATATGTCATATATAATATTCATAGGACGGAAGTAACTAGACCACAGAATTATAAGTTAATAAAAAAAAGTATTATTTCATGCATCGAGAACTGATTATGCCCCATAACATGTGTTGGGCGTACTCTTCAACCAGCATAATATTTTAAGGGTAAAATTTTCAAATTGTATGACCTGTATTAATATAGGTTTTCCCGACCAATATCCTAAAATGTTCATTCACTTTTGAAAATTGGTCATTCATTTTCGTCTGAAGTTGAGAATCGCTATGAACGCGCGTCTTATTTTCGCTACTAGAGCATTCGATGCCATTTCAATTCGATCAATTAAGTGATTGAGCAGCACCTTTCGTTGATGTCCATTTAGATTCGTTTACAAGACTTCTTTTTCGCTTTTAGAGGGCGATTTCAAACATTCACTATTTTATTTCACTTTTAGTTGAAAGCCATCGGCACCAGATACAAGTAGGGGTTTCTTTTTCATTAAACGTCAATCAAATTAGCTGCTAAACCTGCACAAAATAGATTTAGAAAAGGTGTGCATGCGTAATGAATGCACAGGTAACGTAATTGGCCGTCTGTTTCTCAAGGCAGAATGCACGGACAATGAAAACGATAAAATCTCAGTTCAAAAGCTAATTATATTTCACAAAGTCCTTTTGAAGGCCCGTTTTAAATGAAAAATGATTTTATACATCAATGTTTGTCTAAGCAGGGTTGTGAATAAATATATTGTGTACTTCAGTTGTTGGCAGTTGTTGAAACAAACATTCTGTGTCATTTTCTTCGTTGTTCCAAACAATCAGAACACGCAATTAATTAATCTTTTTTGTTATTTTTATTATCATCGTTATTATTTTTGGTGCTACATATTTTTTAAATATAAACATTTTTTTTCGGTCGGATTCCGCTTATTTTTTTTACTCATTCTGTATACCAATAACTTGAAAGTTCTGCTGACCGTACAAACGCTTACCTATTAGTGGGGCTTATAAATTGTTTTGATGGAATTAAAGAAAACAAGTCAGTCGTTTCCTGCTTTGGCAATATTTCAATCGTAAGCTTTCATCAGGCAACGGTGGAATTGTATTTTCCTTTTATCTCTAGTTCCCCGGTTTGGCAAAGGAGTTTGAACCTTTACAAAGTAAACAAAAACATTAAGTATCGACCTCCCGATTGACCCTCGCCTCCTTCAACCTAATTTCTTTAGCCTCACCGTATCTAGGAAAACTCTGCCCTATTTTTATCACTTGATATCATAATTATCTCCTATTCATAGTCATATACAAAAAAAGTAACTATCGGCCTCCCTATTGACTCTCGACTCATTTAAGCTTAATTGTTTATCTAGGAAAACGTTGCCCCATATTTATCAGTTGCTATCATAATTACCACTTGTCCATAGTTAGGTACAAGTCCATACTGGGAGTGAACTGGATTTTCCAGGTTTTATTCTTTCAAAACGCTTCGACCAAGCCTTTGCCAAACACCACGGCAAACATTCGGCCCTATAACGTTTGTAGAAAACATTGCTGCATTGGTTTCAGTTTGCCAAACACTCAGCATACCACTAGGCCTAAACAAATTTAAAGTCAAAGTTGGATATTAATATTATTATTACGATTTTTATTTTTATTATGATGATGATGATTATGTATATTACTACTATTACTGTGATGGGGCGACAGGTTTTGCGAACTCCGTCCACAATAGGGCGATACACCTTCTTGAGGCGACAAAATTACTGTCGCCCTTTTATGAAAACGACCCTTAGGACAAGGAATGTTGCTGTCGCTAACCATCTAAATCGATTCCTCATGGTCCAATTAGTATAAAAACTAAATTTCGTGGAAAAAAAACATAAGGTAAACTTAGGTGACAGTTTAGGTTTGTGCACAAGTCTATGGGAAAGTCACCCTATTGGGGCGAAAAGAGTAAATCCTACAAATGTACCATTAGGGAGACACGTTATCGTAATTTCTTCAATAATAGGGAGACACCGGCTTTTAGGGAGACACATACCTGCCTCCCTAATGGCGCAGCCCCCCTTTAGAGACAAAATTTTGTTGTCGCAATTAGGTTATATTTGTTGCTCGTGGTCTAATTATTACAAATACCGAAATTCGTGGGAAAAGGACAAGGGCATATTGGGTTAGGGCACATTTAAGTTGGAAAAATTTTGTGCACAAGTCTATGGGAATGTCTCCCAAATAACCCATTCCCCGTAATCATTATTGAGTGGTCGGGCACAACCCGACCACTGTCTAGAATGGTTCCGATTAATCTTTTTTTTTTTTTTTTCCCGGACAATACTTCTCAGTGGGTTTACTCCTAAACTGTTCAAGATATAAACTTGTAACTTCGAACACATATTGACCCTGATCCCGAGTAGTGCATATTGTCCTGACGTCATGATAACGTCATCAGGTATCAAATTACAAGCAATTTAGTGTTTCAATTTTTTAATCATAACAAATCAATATAAAATCAACCGTGAGAGACCGGAACTTGTTTTTAACGGCAGTCAATAGAATAAAACTGGGTCTTCAATTTACTTCGTGGGTGTCAAATCATACGACCCTTACTTCCGGTCGAAACCGGTCAAACCCGGAAGTGCCTTGTAATTTAAAATGGTAAAATATATGAACGTGCTTTCAACGATGTTAGTCTTCGGCAAGAAAGTACTTTTTGAAACTGTAACCGATGACGTCATGAAATATTAGAGCGCCCTCTAGCGGCATGTTGAAAAATGTCCAAAATGCATTTTGAATAGATGTCTGTGGCGAAGTTTGCTGTAATCTTTTGACAATTGGTATATATGCTGACCTTCATGCAAACAACACATGTGTGAAGTTTGAAGCCGATGACGTCATCAGACCGGAAGTTACAACGAAAAGACTTTCTATTCTTCAAAAATCGCTAAAAAATCAATCGTGAGAGATATAATCTTAAATTGTCCATTAAATGATAGATAAAACATTGGCGTCAATTGTGCCAGGCGCGTGGCTTGTCAAATTGTTCACACACGTGACCCGCCGCCGACAAAAATACCCTAACGGTAGTCCGTCACTCAAAAATTCAATGAAAGCGTAGAGCTGGGTGTGCGTGAGTTCACTGCATGTACAGGACATTGTACATGTACATGCATTCAGTGCAGACCCATTATTTCTTCATCGTCATGCTTGTTGGAACGGGGCCAAACACGTGGCGCGTAGTCTTGTGCTCAAGACGCTTGGTCTTCTATAACAAATCCCATAGACTTTGTGCACGATTTTTTCGTCAGCATTTTAGTCATAAAGCACACTCATTGTGACATTGAAACTTAACATAGTCAAAGAACATATAGCAAAGGTCATTGGTGAAGATGGAAGCAATGATGACGTCATCGTGTGATTTATTATGAAATTTTGAATATTTATTTAAGCCCATTGACTTTTTACACAGTTTTTCC